CCGGCCAATCTCCGGACACTTAGCCTCCTGGCGGGCCTCCAGGGGGTCTGAGGCGGGGCTGAAGGCTGCAGTCGGTCGGAGGCTACTGACGGGCCCGGCCGGCAGGATCCGTCGAGAAACAGGGGGGTCAAGGGAGGTTTTCTTCCTCCTGGGAGAAATGTCCTATGGCATTCAATATGAATAATGATTAAAAATATTAATAAAGAATAAAAAGATGTCCGCTGAATGCGAACTCTTATATAACAATATGAATAGGGTAAATGTATTGGGCAACAATGGAGAAGAGAGGATACTCAATCCACATTCAGGAAGATATATCAAGATACGAGGGCCAAATCGTTCTGAATACAGAAGAAGGAGAAGAGAATGCATAGATATAGAGAACCCATTCTTAGGTTCAGATACAGTTGATGGCATCCCAGAGGATATTAAGGCACCAACAAAAATCTCAAATGAGGCATCGGCTATAACAGATGAGACCTGGAAGAATTATGTAAGAAACAACAAGATGTGGAAATCACCACCAATGAGCAAATTAAATGATTTTGCAACAATAAATCGTTTAGATAGAAAGATACGCTTATATCCTGATTCAATCAAGGAGGTTACACAATATGACCCATATGATGAGGAATTTACATTAACAGCAATGGGAAGATCAAGAACAACAATAGACACAAGCAGGCATAGCGCAAGACAGGGCAGGAGTTCAACTATACCAACAAACAGTGTTACAAATTATAACATACCAACCAATGACAATGCAGCGACAACAGCCAACAACAGACGAACTAATACAACAAACAACAATAGAAGAACAAATGCAAGAACCAATAACAACAGAGCACCAACAAACAGCAACAATACAAATCGTCAGACAATAAATGAAATTATGGCAGATATTGATGAGCTTTTATCAAGACCATTATTTGGCTTAATAAGCATGAATGATAGATCTTCTGATGTGGAGAGAGATATTAAGAAAAGGGTGGAAAAATATATAGAGGACAATGCAGATGTGTACAGAACAGGACCACCTCTAGCAAAAGTAAAGGATATGATGGCGTTTCTATTGATGATAAAACAGATGATAGATTTTATTAAAGGCACAAATATAAGTGCATTAAGAAATACAAAAGAATATAGGACAGCAATGACATATTTCAATGAACTAAAGAACAAGATTCAAACTGAGGCAAATAGAATCCAACAGCTTATCAACAATGGAGATTTACCTTCAAGTGTATTTAGAGAGTTATTGCCAATAATGAATAACAGCAATCCACCTGTGGGATCAACAAAGAATGCATTGCTTCTAGATTTTATAATGATGCACCGGAACAAGTTCTACAAGGATGATAGCATTCCAAAGGAGATGCTGTCTCTTCTAAATAAATTGAAGGGCAATATGTCATCTGATGATAGGAGCAAGATAGATAGTGTGAGCACAGACAGAGTAACAGATGTGGAAAATTGTCTGAATACATATGATGGAATAATCAATTATCCACAACAGAACAGTGAGTATAAAAGATTTGCCAAGAAGATGAAGAAGATCTGCAACAGACTACAGAAAACAAGCAACAATGATGAGAAGAGGATGAGAACATTATCGAAACATCTTCAGGAGATATTCCATACAAAGGTAAGAATGTATAGGACACAATTTATGTTTTCAAAACAGGATCCTGCATTGAAGCAATACTATTTGAAATATAAGAGAAACGAATTAACATTGAGAGATATAGCAAAACACATCTCATATAAAGCTACATCATTCCGTGTAGGTTTTACAGGAGAACAAGGCGTAGATATGGGTGGTCTATCAAATGAATTATATAGGATGTTAGAAACAGAGATAAATGAGGAGGACAACAAAATATTTGTTCCAATATCAGAGAATTCAAGCAATTATCAGATGAACAAGGATCTTGATATGACAAGACTTGGATTGAGAGAGAGTGATAGGATACAATTCTATGAATTCTTGGGAGCCTTAGTATTCTCAATGATGAGGTCTGGTTATAGATTGAATTACAATCTATCAAAGATCATCCTTTATAATATTCTCTATAACAAGATATCGGATGATGAAAAGATCTTTTTAGCAGTGAATGAGTTTGGAATGTTAAGCTCTGTTTTAAATATTATGAAGCCTGATCTTGACATAAGCATGATTGGATTATCATATGGTGAGGGTGATAATGAGCACAATGTTGAGAATCCTAGAGACTATATAGAATATCTAAGAAGAGATGCAACAGAGAAGCTAGATAGGGTTCTGAATGATAAGGTTAATGAGGCATTTATGGCAGGGTTTGTAGGAGCAACCTCATTTACAACCTTCCGCAAGAGCATATTGAAAAAGATTGAGGACAATGATGATGTTAACTATCTGAATAGAGTGATCAGAATATATGATCTAAGCATGCTGATAACATCAGAAAAGATTACTCCTGAGATCATTGAAAGAAGGATCTTGAATGGAGCGCATTCATTAAAGACTAACAGCTCTGCAAATATCAAAAACCATTACATATTTGAGTTTTTTATTAGGATGATTATGGATAAAGATGGATATCCTATAGAACACGTTAGAGATATGAAGAGGAGATATCCCCATAGAAAATATCCAATGACTTGGGAGGAATTCATTCAAAAGCTGATGATATATTGGACGGGCAATAGAAACATAATGATCCCTAATGAAAACTTTAGATACAAATTACATGGAATAGGTATTGATCAAGAGACTATGGTAAACATAGCTTCACACACCTGTTTTCAGACAATTGATATTAATGTGAATATAGTAGATGATGTTCCTGATACTGAGAGATATAGAAAATTTGTTGAGAAGATTATAGAGGAAGTAACAGTGACAACAAATTTTACAACAGAATAAAAATCTTTATATTTTGGGTAATGTTGTTGTTGATTGCAACTATAAGGAATTTATCAAACTTCATTGGATGATCTACAAAATGAAATCAGGGTCATGTCTTTGTGTTATTAGATGCGATGCAGACAATCTATAAGAATGATTACAAGGAAAAACAAGACATCATCATCCTTGATTTTGATTGGTGTGTTATAACTCCGAGATGCATCCAGAATAAGAGGCCATCATCTCCAGATGATTGGAGGTTATCACAATCCAATGTGATAGATGTATTAAAGAGTTATATATGTAATGATTTTTCTGTGATATTCTTCAATGAATATCGTCCATTTATAGAAGAGAATATTGATAGGTTTGCAGAATTATACAATATTCCATTTCTTGCTATGATTGTGCACGAGAAGGAGTACATAAAACCAAGCACATTAGGATTGATATCATATACATTATCGGAGCGATCTGTATTTGTATCAAATAGTGTGGATGAGGATTTGAATATTGAATTCTGCAAGAGATTGGGCGTGAGGATGACTTACTGCTATCGATTGTTTCCTGTTTATGATATAAAGCGTGAAACACCAGAGATAGTTGTATTGGTAGGATATCCTGGTTCGGGCAAGACAACATATGCGATAAAGAATTATTCGAACAGAGAGAGCTATGTTATATTGCATAATGATGAGATGAAGGGAAGATTATTGAAGAGGTTGTGTGAAGAGCTAGATTTGGGGAAATCTGTGATTGTAGATGCAACAAATCCATCAAGATTGTGCAGACAGAGATATATTAGGATAGGGATGCAGAGAGGAGTGGAGGTTCGATGTATCCACATAAGCACAGATAACTACATATCGAATAGAAGGAACAGGCACAGACCAAACAAGGTGCCTAACTCAGTATTTAGGAACTATACAAAGATGTTCGATAAGCCATCATTGGAGGAGGGCTTCAAAAATATATTGATAATATAAAATAAGAACATTATGGATCTTATATCGTTATTGGTATGGGCGTTTATAATATACATGCTATGGATTTTTATTGATGCAATATCATCTTTAAGAGAGGAGGTGAAGGAGATGCGGATAAGGTGTATAAAAGAGGTGCATAACAATGATATAAGTGCATTGGAGAGCAATCCAACAAAGGATCCTAAGAAGACTGTGATCGATCAATTCTCAAATCTAACAACATATATAAAGAAGATAGTATGATATACATATAATAGTTATGAAAGATGCCAAGGAAGAAGATCCTTAAAGAACCTGTTATAAAGAACAAGACAGTGGATTCTTTGTTTGCAACGAAGCAGATTGATGATAACTATGTATTGCAGTTGCATCTAAGTGACATTTTTATTAACAGTGTGATAAACAATGACAATGTGAATAGCGATACGGAACCCAAGGCGTATGAGCCATCGGATGTGTTTGCAAATGAGGCGGGACAGATAAATGAGGAGACCTGTGCAAACAGCACAAGGTCTGTATGTTTTTGGTGTTGTCATGATATAACAAATTTCTCCTGCAGCCTTCCCTTATATTATAATCATCTGAAGGGGTTCTTTACGGTCTATGGGACATTCTGTTCATTCCAATGTGCATCTGCATACAATTTTTCAATGAATTGCAAGAGTGATAGAGTATGGTATATAAATTCTCTTATCAATATGTTGGCTTCGAGACATGGATACAAAGAGAAGATAAGGCCAGCGCCATCGAGATATCTATTAGAGATGTTTGGTGGGCCAATGAATATAGAGGAATTTCGCGGGGTGCATCAGGATTATGAGAGATCTCACATAATAAACATACCACCTATGATCGCGATAAATCCAAGCAATGAGATATTGAATACATCATATATCAGCAAGAAGACCAACAAGGGATCCATCGATAAGAAGATATCTGAACAAAAATGATATAAGCAATAAAGTTTCTTTAAGTACCATGAAATGGAGATGAGTATGTTATACTTTTCTCCATATAGGGTATCAACAATCACATCAAACTTTGATATAATCAACATTGATGATGGATCAAAAGTGAAGATAGATCTGATGTTGTTATTCCATAACATAACAATCAGGGATGGCAATATGAATTTTGTTTGGACACAGTGTGTTGATAAGGAGACCCAACAGGATATAACACGCGGAGAGTATCCGAACAAGAAGCGGAGGACTGCCTATAAGAAGAACAGGAGGAAGTTTGACAATCAGATATCATTCTTGTTCAAGATAGATGATGGATACTATCCAAATGTCAAGGTATTCCAGAATGGGAATATACAGATGACGGGATCTAGATCATTTGAGGATACAATCCCAGCCGTGGAGGCAATCTTGAGAGAGATACAGAGCATTGCAATGAAGGATATACAGATTATATCTATTGATTACAAGAAGATAAAGTATGATAATTTCAAGGTTAGGCTCATTAATACGGATTTTAGGGTATATCAGGATCCGGAAATGACCGAGAGGTTCTATTTGAAGCGTAAGGAGCTGCATAGGCTTCTTATTGAGAAGAATGAGATCATTGCCTGGTTCAATGCAAATACCTATCCTGGTGTTAAGATTGAGTATTGGTGGAACAAGGACAATCCTGACAATAAGGGAAAAAGAGATCTATCAAAGCCTGTCCCAACCAAGGGTGTGATAAGCGATATAAAAAAGATAACAATTGCAGTGTTCGAGAGTGGGAGCATACTCATCACAGGTGCTATTACATTTGAGCAGGTGAATGAGGCATATCAATACATTTGTGATTTCCTATCATTGCATGTTAAGAGCATTGCTATAAAATTTGCGAATAGCAAGTGATCCCGTGTGTGGTATCGATATAATCATTTATGCTGTTGTTTCCAGTTCTTGTATATCCGGGTATTTGCCAGGGAACACTGAAGTGTTTCATGTATTCCTCGGCTTCAGGGGTGATATGCTTAGGATATTCATTGGGATCAACCTTGCCAACATAAATCCCACGCCCATCATCTGCTGGTGGTATATTTACATCTGAATTCTCTATGTATGTATATTTTAAAGTCATTTTTTTATTTATGTCATATAATAAATTCTTGATATGTCTGCTGATTTTGTGCAGGATGGATTAACATCTGAAGAATTGTTGAATATTGTCATAGAGATACATACAAAGGTCAAGGATGGAAAGGACATAGACAGATTGAGAGAGATATATGCACAGAAATATGCATTCTTCAGTGAGAGATATCCAACACTATTCAATACTTTGTTTCAATCTAGTTTTGATATAGACAATTTCAAGTGTATGATGGATATGAGGAGAAAGATAGAGAACAATGAAGAGACTGTTAAGAGTGCATCGGAATATATTGGATTAAAGTTCTTTAAACAATTCCATCCAGATATGGATAAAAAATGAAAGCACTTAAGACTATATTGTGTACAATATATAAATATGTCACAATTGTTAAAATCATTGGTTGAGACTACAAAACAGGTGTATGAAGAGAAAGATATTTCCTATAGCAATAGCCTCTTAACAGTATTGAGAGATAAACACTATTGGCCAAAGCTACAGATAAAGAGATTTAGCAACAATCCTACCATGGTTCTATTGCACAATACATACAAGAGAAACAATACCGAAGATTTCCAAGAGCTATATGATGAGTGTAGGAGTGTGATATTTGATTTTGCAAATACAGACAATGCAGTGCTATCTTGTTCTACCAGCATCCCATTAAGGATGAGTGATGAGGAGTATGAACCAGATGATAATGATGTATGTGAGATTGCATATGATTCTACTCTGATATATGTTTATTTCAATAATGATAATTGGTTCTTTAGCACCACAAGCTGTACATCGGTGGATAGCTCCAAATTTTCACATCCTACAAAGAGGCATGGTACAATGTTTAATGAGGCATTGCAGGAGTTATTCCCCAGTGTGCAAGAGAATGTAAGAGAGCATTTTGTTACATATCTGAACAAGGAGCATGTTTATGAGTTTGCTCTTGTGCACCATGAGAATACCAAATTCATTGATTATAGAGAGGAGCTTGGTGAGGGATACAAGAAGATATTTCATATTAGCACAAAGATAAAATTTGGTAGTCAGATAAACCATAGGCATGCCCTGTCAGATATTGGGATAATGTATCCAGATGTGTTTGATGACCCTATGCAGGCAATTGATTATATACGCAACAACAAAACATATGGTTTCATTGTGATAAGAGATAATAAGAAGGTCCTTAAGGTTTCATCCAAGTCTCTCCTGTTTCGTGAGGAGACAGATCATTGCAATCCAAATCCTTGGAGAAATCTAATCTGGATATATCAACAACAGAGGGAGAATTATTCCATAAATGAGTATATAAAAGAGCACAATATTGAGCTCTCTGTAGATAACAATGGAAATGAGATAGATGCACAGGATTTGATTGATACATGCATGCATACATTATGTGATCTCATATACAAGATGTATATCACCACAACATCATATTATCCAAAATACAATAGATTTAAGATGTCAAAAGAGATAGATAAGAAGCTGCCTCCCAAGTTGCAGTTTCATTTAGCCCAACTAAGGTATCATCAGATAACAAAGTATAAGGATACAAAAGCAATCATAAAACCAGAGCATGTAATGGAGTATTTATGTAAAGATAATAATGTCAAGAATATCATATCATTGATTAAGCTCATTGCAATAAATAAAACATTTGATATTCCTGAAAATGTTATTGAAAAATTTGAATTGATAAGAGGATATCTCTAATTGATCTTCCTAAAGATAGCCCATCTGTTCAAGAAGCTGAATTCTTTAAGATTTGGATCATTATCCAATAGCTGAAGATTATCCTTGATATATTTATCGTTTGTGCTTGATATAGTTTTATTAAATGTGGTCTCAAACATCTCAGATGATTCTAATTTCAATCCAACCTCATTGCATTTATTTTCTAGGAGACTGAAACTGACAAGGTTTTCAGCAATGAACTTTCCTGAATTTTCTATGTAGACATTTATCTGTTTTCCATAAGGACTTCTCTGGTTCTCTGAATAGTTCCTCTTGATTGCCCAAACAACTGCCTCACTTGTCGGATCAATCCCAAGCAACGATCCATGGTTTGAATGCAATTTATCCTCAACGGTCTTTCCATCCATAAAGGTGCATATGAAGACACCATCCTTCTTCAGATTTGATACTACATTGTTGAGGAAGCCACCTAGGCTTGCCTCATCCTGGAAGAAATAGTGGATAGAGAACATGCAAGAGGCAACATCGAATGACACATTGTGATAATCATTAAAGATATTTAGATGGCTAAACTTCTTGTCTGAATAACCTCTCTTTCCTAAAACAATCTTCAAGATATCCTCACTTGTCTTATCAAGGCCCTTAGCTGCCTCTCCTGATTCTAGCTTATGCTTGCAATCCCCAATAACAAATATCATCGTTGGAAAATATCTATCCTTGTTTTCTTTTTTTGTCTTGTAATATTTGGTGAGCAATCTCTTGTATATACCACTCACAGGATTTTCTATGTTGTCTTTGACATAATCTACACCAAAGACAAACTTATATCGTGCAAACATCCAACGATCTATATCAGAACCCTGACCACAAGCCAGTTCTATGATGTTTCCACGATTGCCTCCCTTTATAGCAGGATATTCATATAGCATGGACTTGATTATCCTATTATGGAAGAAGATCATCTTAGATGATATAAGCTTGCTGCTATCCTTGTCATTGAACCTGTTGTAATACTTATCATCGCTGGACAGCTCAACATCAATATCGCTCTCTGAAAATTCAATAGATGTCTTACCAGTGATCATATCGTATGTAATAGGCTTTGAGATAGAGCGCCATATGTTCATTGCCACATCCCAATCATTTGCAGTCTTTGTGATGGGACCTGATCCGAAGTTGTAGATCCTGTTCTTGTCATGTCTTATCCTGTTTGCAATCCAACGCCTCTCATTCGATAACATCACATTCTGTGTATTGTATGAGAATTCAACCACGCTGTTGTTCAGTACAAGCTCATTTGTATCAGTTGTATAGCAATTCCCAGTATTCTCATTTACTGCAATATGAGCCTTCTGTGCCTTACCCTCTAGAATGTACTCACGGAGCTCATAGATAGAATTCCTATTCCGTGGCTTATATCGCTTATCATATCTTCTTGTCAAGCCTGTCAATACATCAATCATCTCATTGTTCTCAATATTGAAACCAACATACAATTGGAATTCCTTGTACCTGCTCCCATCTCCATAGGTATGGAATATGCCCGTCTCCTTCACAATAAACTCGATTGTGTTCTGCTCGGGTGGTTTCCATTTGAATACCCTATCCCATTTCATGTTTGCAGAGACACTCACTGGCTTGTTTGCATAATAACCAAATACTGGGAGCTTCATTGGAGTGAATACCAGCCCATCAATCTTATAATTGTATGAACTGTGATTGCTTAAGATCTCATTGCACTTATCAAGGATTGTTTCTCCATCAGATGCATAGAGCTGTTGCTTAACCACAAATTCATGAGATGATGTAGTCTTCATCATGCTCACATGTTTCTTCATTATATCATATCTATCGGGAATAAGAGGCAGGTCCTTCACAGATTTTCCATTTAGAAGATAAACATCGAATATTGCAAACAGATCATGCGTGGAATCGTTCTTGCGCTCTGAACATAAGACCAGTTCGCCATCAAATAGGCTATTCTTGAGTGCAGGTGCATTCAGGCCTGTGCCTCTCACATTCTTTATGTTGTTGATAAGGAAGGCCTCACCATCTTTATCAACAAATAACAGGAACCTCTCTCCATCTGCTTTCTCACTCACTGCATAATTCTTCATAATAGATATATAGCCAAGATTGTCAGCCCTTCCCATATTGATCCTCTCTAATGTTATGGGCTTTGGTGTGATCAATATAACATCATTTGTCATGGTCTGCAATCGATCATTCAGCATGAATTTTATGCATGCAGAGTATTGATCTAAAACTGAATTCTGTTTTGCCATCAATAATGGCCGAATATTACCATACAATGCAAATTCCATCAGCTTGAGGGTTTCATCAATATCAATCTTGTTGTTCTTTACAACTATCTTGAAATAGTATGTGTAGTTTGCGAGCATGGCCTTGCTCTCTTTGAATGTTCTTGCAGGTCGCAGGCCATTCTTACATACCTCAACAATGTAATCACAATTGTCATCATAATATGTAACTCTTTTTTTGAGAGAGAAGGACTTTAATCCCTCATTTGAATAATCTAATGCATCATTATTTGATAACTTGAAGAGGACTGCCTTGAATGCAGACTCGTAATAATCCTTGAAATTCTCTTCATAATCGATAACCTTGTGATATCTCTCTACACATTCCATGTTTCCTTGTGTATATTCTTTGATATCCGTAACTCCCTTCACTACCAATATTCCCTTATCATCAAGGATCTCTAATATCTGTTCATCGATATCTCTCTTCAAATTTTTTGCCGAAAGAACATTATTGAACATATCAAAATTTGCACCATTGAGAAGACCATCAGAATATATAATCTCAAAGGTTACATTAGACGAAGCATCAAACCTTTTTAATACCTCATCCATCATCAATTCTTACTTTAATAATATACAAAAATCTCTTATATGCTTCATTTTTTTATCATACCATATAGCTCTCTCCTTGATAATCTGACAGATTTATTACTGCTTTCCTATAAATGAAAGAGATATCAAGTACATATGATAAAAGACGGCACACATAGACATTCCATTTGTTCTCAACTATTCCTGTCATTACACTTGATGTTCCCTTGATGGTTAGAAACTTCTGGACCTCCTTGTTGTCAAGATATTTCTTGATATATTCCATGACATATTCTTTGTCATTATCCAATCCTAAGAAATCTATCAAGAAATCAATCGGTGGAAGTTTCTTCTTCATAAGGGTTATGTTCTTCTTCACAATCTTGATATTGTTTGTATCATTCACAATATTTTCATCAACCATTTTTCTTCAATCTCCTGCCCATCACATGGCTGGATCTCATCTCTTTCAATCTGTCGATCATATGGCTTAATCTCATCTCTTTCAACCTGTCCATCACATGGCTTGATCTCATCTTCATATATTCTCTCTTTTTTGTATTCTTGTTTTTTGCTGTTGGTTGTTCTTTAATCAGGGACCATTTATGATAAATAGATCTCTGTGTTGGAATAAAATAATCAAATTCTTTTGTTTGATCAATTGCTGCTCTAATCAATTCCATGTTTTGTATATATTCTGCAAAGAATGTTTATATGGTTTGCCTAGACAATATGACATCATCGTATGTTAGTGTGTCTTCAATGAGCTTGTTTGTTGAGCTTGTGCATTTTTGAAATTTCTTTTTCATCAGATAGAATTTTGTGTTGGTGTTTGTTTTCTTAATCTCCTTAGTATCATCTTTCTCTGCATATTCCTCTTTGATCTCATCTTGAGCATTCTCTTGAACAATCTCCTCCTCACCTTCGGTGGCGCTAATATCCATGTTCAGATTTTGGCGCATGCTCTCATATTTGTTTATCTCCTTCCGAGATTCACTACAAAAATCAATATAGTGTCTGATCTTCAACAATACCTCTTCTGACAACCATGATAGATTAATAAAAACTCCATTGTTGTTCCTACTATATGATGTATTGCTTGAATGCAATATCTTAAATAATTCTTCAACCTCTGCAGTGCTCAATGTGTCCAATTCTGCCTTGATTTTCATACAGGTTTCCTTACGATCTTCATCCATCTTTATATAATATATCACTCTAAACCTTATATGGTTTGTCAGATCTAATCATCATCAAAGTTAATATCATCAGCCTCATCTGGAAGATCATCAAATTCATCAATTTGCTCAATGTCATCATCGGCATCAATATCATTGTTGATCTCACTATCATCATCATCCTTATCATCGGTTGCAGACTTATTATCATCATCATCATCCTCTTCCTCTTGCTCGATCTCTTCATCCTCATATTTAGGTTCTTCCTCGGTGTATTCATCCTTTTCACAAACAAAGTCTTGATTGATCTCTTTATCATCCTTTATTATCTTCCCAATTATGTTGATGCATGTATCATTCAATTTGTATTTCTTTCCACCATACACCTCTACATTGACCATGTCACCAACCTTGAGAGTATCAATATCAATCTCAGAAACAATGCCCGCCGTGATCCTTGGGATTAAGAATTCGATGATTACATCACCATTGTAGGTATATTCCGCCTTTGCTGCTGTATGATTGATTGCAACAATACGGCTTCTCAACACTGTTCCTATAGATGGATTGCATATCTCTGCATTGCAAACAATATTGTAACACAGCTGACCATTGAAATGCTGTTTGATAATCTCACCACCAGACCTCTTTATTATACTGACACTGCCCTTCTTGACATAGCCATGCTTCATGCACTTGCCCTCAATCTTGTCCTTTAATTTGCTCAACACCAATTCATTGATGTTTCTTTGTAGATCACTTGGAGATATATGGACAATAGTCTTGAATTTCACTAAAACAAACATTGTTCTACTCTAATCTATATTATTATATATCATTTTTCTTTTACTCTTATACACCTTTCAAAGGTCTAAAAAGAGAGCATGAATATTGCCTACCATAATTCTTGAATATCATAAAGCATCCAACAGTGATCATGTTTTACAAACTTGAATTTATAAGGTTTCTTGTTGATAAGCACATTTGTATCATAGTCAAACACCTGTACAATCTCATATTCTCTTATCATCTCTGGGAACATCAAATCCTTCTTTAGTGAGAACCGGAGAACACTATCTACGTCTCGTGTCTCCATGCGGCTTAGAAGGAATAGAGTGATCTCCTTTATAGTCTTGTAAGGAGAAGGCTTTACCTTGTAGTCAACAATGTCTGGATAGGTAGGAACCTCCCCTACAAAGAAGGAAGAGAAGATTATTGGGATAGGCCTTTGCGGGATAAAATGATTGTAAGGTGGCATATCATTCTGCTGCATCCTGAGTGCAAGCAGTGGTCTGGCCTTCATAGGCATATGATTGATGTATAGAAGGCTCATTGCTCCAACTTCATAAGTTATTATGATTTACTCTTATATGGTATATTGGTGTAAATACACAAGATATTCTAAATAGAGAACAAAATAAACATCACTAGGAATAAATGTATAACTTTATAGAGCCTGTAATACTTAGTGGCACAGACGGTGTGATTACCTGTTTCAATCTCATGATTGGATTAGGTGCTGCAGACTTTGACAAGAAACTGATAATGATCATAATTCTTATAGCAATCATTGGTGATTCTATCAGCATGGCTATCTCATACTTCAATAGCAAGCTGATGGAGACCAAACAGATATTGGATTGGGGGCTTATCCTTCATTCATTATACAATATACTAGCCTTTGTTTTCTTTGGAACACTATCCCTAGTTATATATCTATACATTACAGACAGACCAACAGTTCTCAATGCATACATATCGATAATCATCCCATTGTTGCTTCTAGGATTATTGCAGATGACCTATAGAAATGGCAAAGTATCTTTTCTTATAACACTCGTGCTTGGAATGATAGGATCTGTAGTATCATATGTTGCAGGAACTCTTATAAAGATTGTAAATGAGAGTGTAAAGGACAACAGTGATGTGATAAACAATAGTATATAAAGATTTATACAAAGGATTTATTATGATTGCAAACAAACACATGATATTCCTAAGAGCAGCCGTAGATGAAGCCAACAAGTCAACTATGACAAAGAAACATGGGTGTGTGATCGCTTGCAACAATAAGATCATAGCAAGAGGTTACAATTTTAGATCAAACAGTCTTAAGTTGTGTTTCAGCATCCACGCAGAGGTATCGGCTATAAACAATGTTGATAAGCAACACACCAATATGAAGAACCTTACAATGTATGTTGTACGGATTGATAAGAACAACAACCTGATGAAATCAATACCATGTGAACGCTGTGAAAGGTACATACAAAAAAGAAATATAAAGCGGATATATTATTCATTGTGATTATCTTCTTGGCGGATGGAGATCGGCCATAGAGCTTGCAAATGACTGTTCATCTGCAATCTCCTCTTGGATCTCACGCAATAGATTGTTAACCTCATCTGATACCTCTTCCTCGATTGGAACATGCACCAATAGCAGACCCTTTTGCATAAGATCTGGGACCAGTGTTCTTGTAAAGAATTCATTGGTTGTGTGTAGAGTTGTCTGAGCAATGACCGATCTCTCTTTGTATGGGATGCTTGTATCTGACAATAGAGGCAATGTATCTCGGATGCCCTTTGCTACATCCCTTATGAGGTTAGACATTGGAGCTCTCCCTTTCTTCATAGAATAATTCATAAGGCTGCTGAGACCTCCACCTGAAGCATTCAATGCCTTGATTGATTTTATGCTATTGGAGATACGGCCAATCTTAAGATTTATCTGTATATATGAATTCTTGATCAACATCTGGCATATTGGTGTAATGTGTCTCTTGCATCTCTCTCTTTCTTCCCCTAATTGTTCAAACAGATTTGCAATATCATTCAGATCACTGCGTATCATCTTAAGGTACCCTCCTCCATTGTTGCCTTGACTTGGTGATGATCTATTATGGCTGCTCATTGCTGTATTGCTTTTTTTCATTATTTTGATTATATGATACAAAAATATATAAACATTAGCTTTATTTTGTTATAAAACATTATGTTGAAGGTTAAATTGCAAGATGGTGCTACAATCCCTAAAAGAGCAACAGAGGGGAGTGCCTGCTATGATCTCTACAGCAATGAAGAGGGCACAATTCCAGCCCATTCTAGGAGAATGTTTGATACAGGAGTCTATGTTGAATTCCCTAATCAATTCATGTTGCAAATCCTGTCAAGGTCTGGTCTATCATTGAAACACGGGCTGCAGGTTGGTGCGGGGATTGTTGACTCAGACTATAGGGGGTCTATCAAGGTATTGTTGTACAATCACAGTGATAGTGCATATCATATTGAGAAGCACGACAAGATTGCTCAGATGGCCTTGATACACATTGAAACGCCTGACATAGAGGTTGTAAATGAGATAAATGATACCGATAGGGGTGAGAATGGATTTGGGAGCACAGGATGATCATGGATCGATGCGTTAAGTTTGATAAATTTTTTTTATCATGACACTCTGTATGAATATCTTGTAGACATCATATGATGATGTGTTGTGACATTGCATTAGATCCTAAAATAAAAACACTGATGTAGATGACAACATACAACCTCAGAATACGCTTTCTTTCTATGGAAAATCTCTTTATATTATAATCATATGCAGGCATGTTGAGGAATACTATATAAGAATAATCAACAATCATGTGCTTCAGACTAAAGTGTTCAAGAAAATATGTAAGATATCTAATAAATGGACACTTTGATTTCTTCTCCAGAACCAGTTACTCTCAAAGAACAGATCATGTATAGGATAAAATGGGAACACAAACGCATTGTACATGAAGATGCTGTTGATTATCTCGAAAAAATCCTCCGCCAACTTGTGCAAGCCTTCATTGATGCTGCTGTTCATATCAAGGACCCCAAGTACAAGACAATGCGATTGGTTGATATGCTTGTTGGTATACAGATGATACTCAGTATTTCTTATGAGATGCCTGTAAAAACAAAGGTCAACCAAGTTATCAAATATTACAATTATCTTATCCATAAATGCAATCTAACTGCAAATGCTGCTATGGCTAAAATGCAAGATATTGAGTTCAAGGCAAACACATTCCAAGAGATGTTCAAGAATTCCTATCCGAACATAAGGGTATGCAATGAGGCCTATATTGCCCTACAAGCAGTTTTAGGCCTGATCTTGAGCGACCTGTTCAACACATTCTCATTTCAAAATGTGAGAAATGGATACAAGCTAGACTTTGTCAAATCTGTCATAGACAAGACCATCTCCTACAGGAATATGTTCTATAGACATAAATACGAACCCACATCTATAGAGATGGAGGCCTTGCCGCCATTGACAAAGAGCATTTACGACAATCTCATATCTAAGATCCGTGGAACTTGTAAACGGGTAGCACCCGATGCTATGCAACACATACAGTCTCTTGCTGCAGGCCTGTTGAATAGAATCCTGAAGATCATCCATAAAGACACCAAATGTTCACATGACTATGACTATCTTTATACGGTGCTGCATAAAAATATGCTTGCAAATCAGCTCTTGACACAGTGTTATGAGTCGTGGTTCGAAAATAATGATATATCATTGAAGACAATAGTTGAGCAGTTCAAGAAAGATACCAAAATCCAACATGAGACCATTGTCATTTGGATCAATATGCTATCAGACCCACAGGCTCCAATATTGAATGAAAGCACCATATGGATGATCCATCTGATAGTTGAGTCATATATTATCAACATCCTCGATAAGTCTTGCACATATGCCAAATACATGCAGAGAGCTATCATCACCAGGAAATACATAGAGGTGGTCATGGAATATGTCTGACACAAATAAATTTATATCTCATGTAAAGACTGCTTCAAAGGAGTAATCAATCTCTCCCAAAAATAATGTAGACTTTTATTGACTTTTATTTCTTTTTGTTCGTATTTGAATGGTTTGAGTATGGATCTATCTATATATTGCTGCTAGAAGAATGTTCAAATTCATTTATATGTGCACTCAAAAGATATCCTAGACACCATCTTGGTTTGGGTCAAAGTTTAGGAAACATCTAAGCCATGTGATGTCCTTAAAGCGCTTAGGCACTATATGGGACCTAGGCTTCTTGTATGGCCAGCTATAGATGCCAAGATCCTTGCATGCCTTTTTCAATGATGTGAGTGAGATTCCGAGAGTGTTAGCAGCATCTCTCTGTTTGAGATGAAAGAGCTGAGCGATGTCATTATGTGTCAGACGGACAATCCTGCGTATATAGTGGCTTCTAATGTTTCTTCTGGGATATATAGATATGATATGCTTTTCAGGACTGTGATCCATGCTGGTTTTTATTCATGAATAAGGATATATCTTTATGTATTACAATCTATTTATCACAGAGGTTGGTCTTATAGCATCCAAACACAATTTGTTATGTATTTATACATAAATGAGATAACACTCACTAAAGACTTCATTACATTCTGATTTGCTGCTTCGAAAATAAACAAATTGATATTAGGCAAAGAGTGTAATATAGTATAAACAATGGATCTCTATCAACAAAAATACAATGAGTTCTATGATATGTATAGGTTCAGCTGTGGCATTCAACAACAAGACATTGATTTTATAAATCGATGTTTCCTAACCAAGATCAAAAAGGAACCTTTTGAGATTGTTGTGATGTTTATAAAGCCTACAATACATTGCAATTACAACAAGGACAAAAACATATACAGGCAGATATTTTTTTCAGAACTTGATTATCTATGCAAACTTGTAAGGATAATCTATGTAACTCTATATAATGAAGCAAATGATGATAATCACAGAACAAAGATATTGCAAAATATATTAGAGTTTATAGAATATATTTCTGAAAAAGAAACAATCTTCAAAACGCTATTGGAATGTTTTAGGACAAGCAGCATAGATCTCTCATCTATTGTGAGTTTTGGCAATGAAATCATCTTCACAATAAAAGATAGATTGCTAAAACAGATGTGTATCGATTATGATATACAAAAGTATACAGAACACGTATACATGAATGATGATCTCGCAACAAATCATAACATAAGGATTATGCAGGATGCAATATATGTATACATTGATAACACAGTGAAAAGAATGAGCTATAAGGCATTCAAGGACTTATTCATAAGCAATTTCCAGAAAAAGCTGCTGTATTTATACAATGTGATATTCTTTCCTAGACTTTCAAAGGAAGAGAGAGAGACATTCCGCAATAACATAGTTAAAACAAGGCTTGATTATGAATTTACAAGTTATTACAACAAGGTGTTCAGGCCGTGGTTGCAGATGAAGAGTTTCTTCTTTGATATCAGCATATGATATCTGCTGTTGCCAAGCTTACAAATTTTTTATGATTTATGTGATATCAAACTTGAATAAAGAACAAACAAAATAACTACATAATGATTTTGTTCATTCGAATATCATACATCTGTACACCAATTATCCGAACTCGCCTCACTAAAATATAAAAGAAACAAAATCCTACCTTTGTAAACAAATTTATACCCAAGGGGTTGAAGAGCATATCTTTGCTGTTGATCCTTATCTCAATCCACACAATATGTCCATATTATCATACATAGAGATCTTATCTTTCAACAACAATATGTCAGCTGCAGAATACATCTCTAGATACTTTTTTTGAGCATAGTAATCCTTTCTGTTATAAACATTTAATGAGGGGTCTCTGTCGCTCTTTATTGGCAAATTTAGCGCCTCAGATATCTTTCTCACTATATTGAAATGGTCATCTAGTAAATCCTCATATTTAATATACAAGGATCTTCTCATTCTCTTGCTTATGTCAAACCAATTATTGTACTTATTGAAATACATATCATAAACATTTTTATGGTTTCTATTTATCATACAGTCATTAAACATACGACTATATTCATTTAACCATGTATCTGTCTCGTACAATTCAACATCTCCTTTTATAAATGACTTGAAATCATCTGCAACTTTTGTTAAACCGTAAGGCTTATTGAATATTGATACAAGCCACGACTCAATGTTTTTCGAGATTATCAATAATATAGCGTTATCCCTCTCTAACCTTTTATACTCTTCATCTGATAATTCACCATGTTTCCAACCATAGTACCCATCTGCATCCAATCCAGATTCATTTATATTCTGATAATCACTCTCAAAATATTTCTCAACTATCTTCCTTAAAAACTTAGTTCCAGTATTCCTCTCTCCTTTTATACAAAAAATCATCTTTTATATATGAAATAAAAACAAAATTGATGTTTTTATCACATGAATTATTTATGGATCTGATATCTCAATGCTCATGGACCTCCTTCAAGGCATTCATACGGATAGCTCCTGACGCACACCTCGCCTTGCTAAGGTTTGTTTGTAGCCGTTTGAATATTTCCTCCCTTGAAGGTTTAAAATGGACACTTCTGGTAATATGACTCACCTTAGCCTTGATCTCAAAATTAGAGCTATTTAACACTTTCTTACAAATCAAAACTATATGGAAACTTCTGAACTCTTCTCAGTTCCAAGAACTACCCTTATGCGTTGGGTTCAAAAATACCAAGATGACCAGACTATTGCTCGGAAGAAGAGAGAATACACAGCCCATTACTTTATGGATTATCTTGAGAAACAGGTTGTAGATTATCTAATTGCTGCACTAGAAACAAATAGTGTTCCCGTAAGATCTGTCTTAGACTATGTGCTGTGTTGTCCTCAATACCTGGATTGCGCAATATTAGTTGTTGAATGAAGGATTGCATCGAGCTCATAATGCTGTTTTGATTTGTGATCAGCATGCTGAAGAGCACGTTTATGTTATTGAGATCTGTAAAAGAATGCCTTTTAGATGTTGTGTGAATTGTGCAATGCACATACCTGTTTGCAGATTTATAGGTAGGACCTGCTGCGTATTGGCTTCAGGCCTTTGTCTCGTTGTTTTTTTGCGTTTCTCTGCAGAGCAAGATTAGTTGAGATAGGATATAATCATCCTGAATACTCTCAGGTGGATTGTCTGTTGGAGCTTGCTTGTCGATAGCCTGCTGTTTATTTGCCCTCCTCTTGAGGAGTTCTGTTTGAAGGGCCTCTGCTTGAATAATCCTTCTCTGGGTAGGTTCATCTTGCTCATAGCACGGATACTGCTGCTGAGGGTCTGTGTTTGATTGGATTGTGCACTCCTCGTTTGCATGTGCTTGTGCTTGTGCTGCTTGAATAGATGTCAATAAATAGAGAGAGCATGTGATTTAAGGGCTTACACAGCAGAAAGTCCTTGTAAGAGCCGCTTGGCTTGTCAAGATTGGATAGTGCATGATCTATAAAATTAGAAACCTTAGAGCTCCCTTGTGATAAGGATATCTCCTCTGTAGGGGTGTTGTCATCCCTTATATATGGAGCAGCAGAGGGTATTGTGTAATTGCTTGTTTCCTGCCCATCATTGTCTGATTCTTCCAATCCTGTCCTTGTATCATCATTAGCTGCTTCTTGGCTGTCTGGCAGTTCATCAATCCTATCAAAGGATGGTTCACTGCTTATATTGATATAAGATATGTCCTTGTTCATGCTAGTGAAAGATGTGACGTACGCATCGTAGATCTCCATAAATCTTGAGGCATCACCACATGGTTTTTTCCTTATATCATTCCAAAAATCACTCTTATTGAAGAATTCTTCATTGGTGCATACAGGTTCCAACAGGCCCATGAAATTCTTGTGATAAATCTCGTGAGGTTCCTCCATAACTCGGATAAATGGGCACAGCTCCTTGAAATAATGAAAGATAGATATGAAAGATGGCAGCTTTCTTATTGAGATCCATTCTATGATAGGATAGTCCGGATTTGTCATCTCAATGTATGGGTTGTACCATTCCGTAAGAGCCATGAGGGTGTTGTTGAACATTACAAGATTGTGCACTATTTTCGGATGAAGCCCAATATCAATAAGATGCTGTGGATGATCATTTATAGGATAATTGTTGAACATGTGCAAGGGCAACCTATTTCCCTTCACAAATGGCACATAGAGATTTCTTGTAAGGAAGAAGCAATATATATGATAGTCTGTCAATTGTGAGAGTTTAACCTGCTTGGATTTATGTCTTATCAATACATTGCCACCTTTCTGTTCTAGATAGAATGTCTTGACCTTGAACATTATATTGTCATGATCAGACATGAATGCATTTATCGGAATAAGGATGATTTCATCCACATTGTCACAAGAGAACTGGAACAGGTATACAATGCTCTCAATAGCATAATTACATATGCTATTATACCGTATCACCTCCTTGAGGAGCACACTGAGGATTGATGTTGTTCCTAACAGATGTATAGTAGATGTCTCTCTCCAGAAACTTGCTGTGCTTTGCAATATGCAAGTGAAGACCTGAAAAGAGATAAAGAGGTTGTGATGTGTGCTGTCAAAGGACACGGTTGTGCATTGCAATATGCAAGTGTAGATTTAAAGTGTGATAGAGAGGTTGTAATGTGTGCTATTGAAAGAAATGGATGTGCTCTTCAATATGCAAGTGCAGACCTAAGAAGAGATAAAGAGGTTGTGATGTGTGCTATTCATAATGATAGTTCTGCTCTAAAGTTTGCAGATGAAACAATAAAGGATGATTATGATGTTATCATAAAAGCAGCAAAAACATGTAGATTTAGTTTAACACACATTACAGATAAAGCAAAGAATGACAAAGAGTTAGCATTTCGGCTTGTAAAAATCAATAGTGATAATATGAAATATTTATCTGATAAGTTAAAATGTGATAAAGATATCATTGTAGAAGCTGTTAAAACAAAACCTTTCTATGTAAAGGATCTAACAAATGAACAAAAGAACAATAAAGAGCTAGTATTGGAGCTAATAAAGCATTCTATATACACAATTCAATTTGTGTCTGATAATTTGAAAGATGATTATGATGTTGTCATAGAAACTGTTAAAAGAGATGGAAAATTCCTTAAAGAGACATCTAGTAGAATGAGAAAGAACCATGATGTTGTATATGAGGCAGTAAAGTCATCAGACGGCAGCACTTTTGAATTTGCCGACAAGACCTTGAAGGCAGATAGAGAGTTTGTTGCTAGGTTAGTCGAAATTGATGGAAAAAGTCTATTGTTTGCTGATAGAAGCATAAGAGATGATGTTGAATTGATTGTAAAGGCAGCCAGCAAAAACAGTTGGTACAAACAATATCAAGACAATAAAACATTTATTGATAAGGTCTTATCATCCGGCAGGTGCATGTTTAGAAAATTCATACTAGCTATATTTAAAGGCAAGGAAGCATTATTGCATGATGATAATATAATAACGAAACTAGTTTCAAGCAATGGCATGTTATTGGATATTGTACCATTAGAATTAAGAGCAAAGAGGCATATTGCACTTGCAGCTATTGAACAATGTGGGATTGCATATGCATTCGTGCCAGAGACATTAAAACAAGATAAAGAGATAATTATGGCAGCACTCAAGAATTACCCGCCTATATTTGGGCATATACCTGAAACAATGAGAAATGATAGAGATATAGCACTAGAGGCCATAAGGGTCAATAAGACAGTTATCAAATACATCCCTCTAGATATAGTATATGACACAAAGTTTATTTTGAAAATATTATTGCATAGGCTGGTTACAAGCTCTGATTTAAAGTCATACAATACTGGTGTATATCATATCGTGCTTCATTTTGTTGATAAGCTAATAAATGGTGAAGACATGTTCGAGTTTGTCATGCACATAAAGGGTTTAAATGAAAAAGCAGTCTGTGATATGATACTTACCAACCTTGATTGCTTTCTCGAATCTGATTATTGTGGCAAGGTGTTAGAATTCTTCCTAAAGTACTATTACACAACCCTGCTAAATCACAATATTGCACTCAATCTCATTTATAACAATGAGGACGCACTATTGTTCCTAGACTCAATAAATGTGAAGCTCTTATCATTGCGTGAATTAAACCCCGACCATGCTTATGACGATAGTGAAGTTATGAAGCATATGATTCAAAAGCACCATGGTAAAGATGTGTTATTTTTGGAGCTAGCAGGATCTATGAAATAAACCTGTCTAATGTAAGACTGTAAAATTTTATCATTGAGACATTCATAATTAGTCATAAAACCATGTGCATTTTCAGGTATTTTAATAGCATTTATATAAAAAGTGATTTGAGAAAATGTTTGTTCTTTATATATAATTCCCGACATGACTACAAGGACTATTTACTGTTCTTCACCTAAATTCGATGAAATTTATAAAAAGATAAAGCAGAGCTATCCCAATTGTTGTCTGTTGTATGTGGAAGAGATATTCAATGAAGAGCTTGAAGCAGCTTATCAAGAACATAAGAACAATATCATGCAAAAGCGTGGTTTTGTGAATGAAGCGAAAATGTTCCATGGAACAAATGAGAATGCAAAGAAAAGTATTATACAGAAAGTTTCGATCCTAAAATGAACAAGGTAAGTGCCTATGGCATAGGTACCTACTTTCATATTCAAGCCAATTATTCAAAGGACTATGCTCCACCAGGTAAGAATGATATATCCTACATATTCCTTTGTGACGTTCTTATTGGAAATAAAAAGGTAGGCAAAAATAATGAAGTGATTGACACAGCAGAGTATGACAACTTTACAAATCATAATGAATCCATCGTTGTTACACCATATATGAATGGTGCAGTTCCCAGATATTGTGCTGTTTTCTACAGGAACGCAAAATAATACACGTTTGATTCTTATATGACAAGCATATAACAATAACAACTAGCAAATGTTCATAAGAGATAAAAATTTGGGAGTAATTCTTTATTTTTATTTACTACAAATCTCTTATGCGCTCTTCACACTCTAGCCTTCTTCTCTTGTGGCTGCATTGTTCATCTTCAACCTTGCAGTCCTTGCAATCATGCCTTTTGTTGTTGTGGATGCAAATAGAGCCCCCTTTACACTGTATTGTTGTATTATGCTCACATATAGAACTACCTCCACAGTCCTTGCAATAGCTTCTAAATATGTTATGCTCACGTATGGATCTGCCTTTACACTCCTTGCATTGGCGCCTTTGTCTATTGTGATGACATATTGAGCCACCTCCACATTCCTTGCATACACTTCTCACTCTATTGTGCTGACATATTGAACTTCCTCCACACTCCTTACATTGGCTCTTTATTCTATCATGTGGACATATTGAACCACCTCCACACTCCTTGCATCGGTTCTTTATTCTATTATGCTGACATATAGAGCCACCTCCACACTCCTTGCATAGGCTCCTTTGTCTCTTATGCTGACATATAGAGCCACCTCCACACTCCTTGCATCGGCTCCTTTGTCTCTTATGCTGACATATAGCACTACCGCCACATTCCTTGCATTGATCTTTTACTCTGTTATGATTACAGTATCTCTTACAGGTCTTACATTCACCTATAGTTCGATTGTGTTTACAGATATTGCTGTCCATAATGCAGTGTTTATTCAATAAAGATAGAAGATATTCATTTTACTACAAATCTTTTGTACATTCTTGAAAATTTAGATTCCTTCTATTGTGGTTGCATTTCTGGAGAGAAACAAAAGACACAATGAATAAAAACGAATTTGTTGATGTAAGCTTTTCTAATTAGAATTTATTGTACAAACCATTGATAATCCGAGTCTTATTATCGAATTCATTGAACAATTCACGCAACATCTCTCTAAGCTTGATCAAATCAGTATTTTCAGTGAACTGATTCTTGAATTCCCGAAATTGGGTCATGAAGCTAGCATATATATCGGTCTCTTTCTTTATTTCGATGTTTTGATGCAACACATTGGTATAGTTATTTAGAAGGACTTGTTGATGCTCTGGAAATTTTAGATCATTCCTCATTGTCTCTATCCATCTGTGCATATCTTCAAGATCCTTTTCTTTATTCACCAATATATAATTCAAAGCAACTATCTCATTCTGAAGTTTTATATTATTCTCTTGAATGTTATAGATGTTGTTATCTACTAGAGATTGCGATTCAGATGCTCGAAATCTCTTATTTGTATCGTTATTATCATCTTCTGTTTTAAATCTCTTATGGAACCTATCTTTTATCTCTTGGACAGCTTGTTTTGTCGAGAAATGTGTATAATCACAATATCTGTTCTTGCACAACTCTTGATCACGGCATGGTTTATGTTTCTTGCTGCACTTTGTTGGACAATGATATCCAAATTCACATTCACCACGCCGTTGTCTACGGATCCTATCAATCTCTGCTTCATCGTGTGAGAACCTGCACTTATCAGATTGACAACCAAAATGATTTACACGGTACCAACAATATGTTGAAAAGTCCATTGTAAGTTGGATAAGAGATATGAAACGCATTCATTTTTGAAGCAAATTGTCAAATTTTGTGTAAGGATCCCACGTTGATCAATATTGAGATACACATAAAGAGATATCGAAATTCAAAGAGAATTTTACAAAACAAAGGATCTTGTTGAGAGATATCTTAGCAATCTAAACATCAAAACTCTTGATATTTCAGATTATGAGAGAAACATAAAACACCTGAATGCAAATCCCATAACAAAATCAGTAATCATATTATATCTGATATGCAAGGATAAAAACAAACACTTCATCACATATACAAGATGGTTGGTGCAAGCACGAAATATGTAAGACCAATATTAATCAACATTTCAACATATATTGAAGAATTTGAAACAAAAATGAGATAGTGTGATGGCGTAGCAATCACCACAAATAATGTTGCATTGGCATAATGACTATGAACAAGTGATAGAAGTCCTAGATAGAACAATTCCACAATTCCCAACAGATGTTTTAGATAAGATCAAGAATTATCTGCATGCATATTATTGTTGTACATCATACATTCCAAATTTCAACAAATCTTTCAAATATAACAATAAAACGACAGCAATCGGTGGATGCAATCCAAATGCCATAAGAGATATTATAAATAATGCAATAGAAGTTGTGGATAATTCATCAGCTATATCAATTCGGTTTGTGATTCTAGCAACCTTGAAAAGTTTAAATTCTAACAACAAGAAAATAAGAATTCTATTTGATGATATTGATTATATTATAGAATCAAACTTTGATGATAATTTGTATGATCATAATGATGATTATAATGAATTCTATGAGAAATACAATGAGATGCACAGATTGCTATATGACTCTGCTAGATTGATAATATGCAGCAGCATATTTATATGGTTTGCATCAAAAAAGCATGATAGTTTAAATCATTATTTTAGAAAGTTGTACAATCATATTCATTTATTTAAACTTATAATATATGAAATAAATCTATCACATAGAAGGATTTGGCCACAAAAAGAATCTCTATTTAAACCAGAAGACAATCTGGATTGCTTTAGATTGAATATGTTCATCTTTCGTTCATGTGGATTAAAAGATCAACCTACATATAATCCTCTAGTGGATATAGATATTGATTATAATATGTATGTAGAAGATTTGGAGAATGACATCAAGAATATTCAAGAATAAGATTCCAAGATCTCCTAAAACTATTTTTACTATCCGTTTCAAGTTTATTGGTATTTGTAGTATTATATAAATGTTTTGTATTCATCAGATCTTCTTATTTTAATATATGTCATCTACATTCTCATTTATTGAATAAAATAGGATATTTATTTTTACTACAAATCTCTTATGCATTCTTCACAGTCTAGCCTTCTTCTCTTGTGGCAGCATTGTTCATCGATCTTGCAGTCCTTACAAATACACCTCCGCTTGTTGTGGATGCAGATTGAACCACCACCACACTCCTTGCATTGACTCTTTCGCCTGTTGTGCTGACATATGGAGCCACCTCCACACTCCTTGCATGTGCTTCTTAGTCTATTGTGTGGGCATATAGAGCCAGCTCCACACTCCTTGCATTGATGCTTTCTTTTATTGTGCGGACATATATATCTTGTTTCGCCATCTCCACACTCCTTGCATCGACTTCTTCTTCTGTTGTGCTTGCATATAGAGCCACCTCCACACTCCTTGCATCGACTTCTTCTTTTGTTGTGCTTGCATATAGAGCCACCACCACACTCCTTGCATTGACTTCGTGTTATGTTGTGCTGACATATAGCGCTACCACCACACTCCTTGCATAGACTTTTTCTTATGTTGTGCTGACATATAGAGCCACCACCACACTCCTTACATATGCTTCTTACTCTGTTGTGAATACAATATCTCTTACAGGTATTACATTCACTCTTGGTTCGATTGTGTTTACAGATATCCATGATGTAATGTTTGATTAATAAAATCAGAGGATATTCATTTTTGCTACAATTATCTTATGAATTGTTGAAAGGGATATAAGAATATGGCTTATAAAAATAATTGACGCCGGTTTTGAAAGGCCTAGTTAGGGCTTGCATATAAAAACCCAAAAAGTATTGACATATCATACCTACATTTGCTTTACCAGATAATATTAGAGTAGTTTCATTTACTAAAATTCTATTCAAGAACACTTTACATAATTGTTATGCAAAAATCATTATCTAGGCATATTTAATGTATAAAATTATAATTGCAAGCTGCTAAAAATGATACTTCAACTCTGTTATAACAAATAATTCAAGTGAGATGAGTTACACACTGTCGCCTCTAGTTGATGAAACCAAGCTTAAGATCGAGGGTCTCTGTTTGAACGATAATCCAAAGGCAATGATTATTGTGAAGAATAGGATTAAACAGATGACCGATAAGGCTTGGAGATATCTATCAGGCAACAACAATGCTGCTGACATCCTTGTTGAGAACATCGATAGGGTTGATTTCAATGCTCTAAAGAATACCAAGATCTATGCCAAGATCGTCAAGCACAAGCCTGATATGATTGACTGGTCTGTCCTCTCATCAAAGGATGATGAGGACGCCATCCAACTGTTGAGGGATAACCTTGACAAGGTTGATTGGAGGGTCCTTTCTGCCAACAAGGGTGCCATCGACATCTTGAAGGACAACCTTGATAATGTATATTGGAGTGAGTTGTCAAAGAATGAGAATGCCATCGAGATCTTGAAGGCAAAACCCGATAAGGTGGTCCATGACTCTCTATGGTTTAACAACAACCCCGAGGCAGCAGATATCTTAGACGTATCAAGGTGTGATCCAGTGCCCCCTCTGACCATCAACAACTTTCTAAAGAGGTTAGACCAAGAGAGATACTCTAGATTTATGGAGGACAATGCATCGATCATATCGGAGAAAATCGATCATCTAGAATGGCTTGATGAGATATGTCTGGATTTGTTAAACATTATTGTAGAGAAGAAAAAGATCTTATCGAGGAGAATGCGTGGAATGAGATCTGCATGAATCCATTTGCCGAAAAGATTGTAAAGGACAACATGGATAATATTGAATGGAATGGAATCAGTTACAATAAGAGCGATTGGGCCTATGATCTGCTTATGGAGAACAAGAAAAATATTGTTTATAGTGGAGTGCTAAACAATAGCAATCCTAGATGGTCCGATACAATCAAGAAGATTCTTCATCGAAATTATGAAGATGCAATTATTGTTATGATCAAGGCTGGAGACGAAAACTGGAAATTGAAATTGATATCAAATGAAGAAACAAGCAATATATTGGCTCAATACTATAATATAGAGGACTTCCATCAAGAGCTGCATGATGCTTTAAGTACCTTTGTCAAGGATATAAAAAAGACAGAGGAGATTGAATTCCTCAAGACACATCTAAAAATAAAGCTATTCTACAAGTATATCAGCAGATGTCCAGCTATCTTTCAATAGAAATAGTGTTGCAAAAAAATTATTGTATCTTATAATTTTTATTCAATGAGTTGTTAGAAGCTTACATTCAAAACCAAATAAGTCTTAGCAGATTATACCAACATTGCCTTGAGAAGAAGTCCATTACAAGAAAATATTAAAAATGTTATGATTTTGTTTTTTTGAGAGATTTATGGATGTTTTTGAAACAAGAATTCCAAAGCGCAGTCATCTCGCAATATCTCATGCACATCATCCCTAGTTATTGTGGTTTCATGTTTATCAGCAATCAGATCATAGACCATCATCATTGTATATTCATACAAATACTCCATCACCTTTGTCAAGTATATTATGCTCTCTCTTGACATCTCCTCTTTGAATCCAGCCGACTTGAATATGTTCTGTGTCTCCTTCCAGCTCAACCTGACTCGGTGGTTACCTTTCTCCATCTCCTGCCATGCGCACGCAACGACATGATCGCAAGTGATGTCTATTGTGATGCTCCGCAAATATGTGTGAAGTGCATCAATGGTACAATCCTTGTTCTCATTCAAGTATTTTACAATCCTCTTTACAAATTTCTCGTAGATCATATCATTCAGGTATTGAAAGGCTGTGTCAGTAATATCTGCGTCAAATGTGACACCCTTGATCACATTGTAGATAGATACGATTGAGTGCATTGTGTTGTGCTTTAAAAAATATCACTATAGCACAATCATTTTTTGAACTGGAATCTGTAAATGTCGACACATTATCAGGATGCATAGTCACACACATATTCATAATAAAAAATGATGCATTATATTTAGTTGTGTGATTATCACCCATACAATGAACCAACAGAGTATGAATGCGATGCTCCATAAAAAACAGTTTGACAAGATCTGGTCAATGAAGAACAAGAAAAAGAACCCCGAGAAGATCCGTGCGTTCATGTCCTCGCAATTTGGTAAAGATCCTCTTCATGACATCCTTATCCAGACTGCAGATGATACACAAAAATGCAGGGAGATTGTGTACAAATTCATCAAAGGAAAGGATATCAATTATTGCAATACACTTGAGATCGATAATAATTCGATAGTGATCTTGAATCAGATTTCTTCGATCCGTGAGTATCTGAAGATGATTACTGCTTGCAAATTGCCAATGGATGAAAATAATCTAAAAAAAGTCTTCTTGAACAACACAGTCAATTTCATATTGACAGATATGAATGCAATCATCGATAACCCTAGTATTCTTGAGGAATTCTTCGACAATAAGATAACAGAAGAGACGTTTAAATGCAATATATGTGGAAAAACCAATATTAAGAAGAATGGATTGAAATCTTTATATAAAGCCGTGTATAAGGATGGTTCTGAAAAACATGTATGCGAGGAATGTATCTTGAACCACAAATTAGAGGTCTAAGATAAGCCTGATGTACAATAGTATGCATCCAAATATTTTTATTATCTTTCAACCATCAATGCTAAAAAAGAGATATATATGTCTAATGCATATGAAAAAAAGTTGATAAAAGATGGTAAAGGATAAAGATTATTAAGCTATATAAAAGGGAAATATATTTTAGAATCTTCTTCCATGTTGTTTACAACTATATATAGGAATTGTTTATGTGATGTGGATCTAATATATGCAACAATGGATTTGTATGATATGATGGGGGATGTTTTTAGTTACAATAGTAAAAAAATAGATGAACAGATTTGCTATTTTGTTATGGTGAAGGTTGATGGTAAGGCCTTATAGATATAGGGAGAACCTCCTTGAAGGTAATAACCTCTTGATGACCAGAATTAGTACCAATATACTCATCCTCTTGTTCACATTGAGCAAGCAACGGTAGATCACCTAGCATATCGATATACAAGTTATAGATATGTATCCTATCTAATCTGATGTTCTCTTTGAGAAGACAGAGTATCTTTTTCTTTTCACAACATATGCGGGTCTTCCATCCGTGATTGTCATCTTGTTCTGGACGGCAATATTGCTCATAATACTCAAACACATATAGATTGTTAGGTGTTTGCCTCATCTTAGATAGTGTATCCATTATATCCTTGAATTCTTTGTCGGTAAGCTTCTCCTTGCAAGCAAATACTTGATCACTAAGTGAATCGATATATTCCATTGTGTTTACACATTGAAATGTTAATTCAATCATTTTTATCTGGGAGAGCGCCCCGGACGAGCGTTAAGACAGAGGTAAGGCCTATATATCAGACATACACAATACCTCGTACAAGATCCATATGTAACTCTCTATGACTGCTTATTGAGCATTTATACAAGCATGTTGTAATATGTTGGATAATGACAATGGATTTGTATATGATATGAAGATAGATATATAGAGGTGTCATATCAAGTATTGTACGTAGTCGTGTGAAGGGCCGGAGTCATGACGCTACCTTATAATTGAATTGAATTGATTGTTCACAAAATTAGAACATCGCTGTTATTGATAACTAAAAGAAGGGGTTTGTTTGTTTATAGGAAGTAAATAGTGGGTATTGCAAGATGTAAGATATGATGGCTTGATGTAGTTTTTATTTATAATAGTAAAAGGTGTGATATGGGGTTTTGTGAAGGACCCCTCTTAAGCTTTAAGACGGAATGAGATGATGCTGTTGATAGTAATCGTGATATCGATCATAGATGCATAGGTGTTGATATGCGGTCTCCTCCTTGCATATATCGAATTCATAGAATAGAGGATTGATATTCTCAACCATATCATAGTATATATAGGGATGTATCTTGGTATAGCATTTCAATTTTTCATTCTGTCTAGGATAATGAGCATAAGTCAATTCAAAGGATCTCAGAAGCCATAATTCCAAGAAGATATCAGCTTCAATCCAAAACTTGTACTTGTTCTTCTTAGATATCAAAAGGATGCACTCCTTGTATTTCTCATCATATAGAACTGGCTTGAAACCATATTTATGGACATCTTTATCGGATACACAATATATGAAGAACTCTTCTTGATCCTGCAAGTAAGTGACATTCTTGAGTTTCTTAGTATGAACCCTCTTGATAGTATCAATATCAACATTACGAGTAAGGATGTACAATTCACGATGACCTAGACGATTGAATGTATGGAACTTGAAGCAACTATCCGGTAACCATAGTTTATAAGGGAGAGATTGTATGTATGGGTCTTGAGAGAGTTCAAAATAATCCCATAATCTTCTATCATGAGACTTCTTGAAGAAGCAGAATTGTATCCGATAGAGCTCATTGATATGGCCATAGAGGGTGTGTCTGAGTTGTATGATACGTGTCTTTTGTTGTTTAAGGAGAGGATGGGGCTGATCAAAACACTTCCAATCAGGAAAAAGAAAGGTAAGGTCTGAAGAGAATTGGATAGTAAGGATAATAAGATCGTGCAAGGAGAGTTCGATGTAATGTGGATGTAATATATCATATCTGAAATAGAGATAATTGAGAATGGCGTGAGTGGGATTATTGAAAGACCTGATATGGTTGGAGATGAGTTGGTACAATTTAGAGACAAGCTTATACTTATGTTTGATGTTATTCAAGATATCATCATGTAGGACAGATAGATCAATCATTTGCTATTGGAATATATGAAAGATATACTTATATTGAAGATGGTATTTATATCAATGATAAAAATTAATATGAGGTCGGTAAGGGATATAGGATGTCTCCACCTCTCCCTAAGGATTTTTTATTGTTGATGTATATGTTTTGTGTAGAATAAGTGGAAGCTGTTATTAAGCCGTCAGGACAGGGGGAAGCAGTACTTCTTCAAGCCCAACTCAATGATAATCCTTAAATGTGTGTGTTATCATTAGATGGAGTAGATGTTTCTTTCAGAAAACGATGGGTCGGATAAAACACCGAAATAAGTCGTCCAACACAATATAAGGTACAATATCTATATGATGCTCTCTATATAAACTTTTTACGACTTATAGAGAGATGTTGAATATATGATTTTATGATTTCAACATAGTTGTATAATGATATAAAGAATGACATAGAGATATCATATGGGTATTGTACAGAGTACGTGTGAAATTGTTCTTAAGCCTTATTAATCATGAGAGCTTGAAGGGAAAAACAAGACTCTTATGAGGAGATATTCTGTAAGAGTTTCTGTTGTTGATATTTTTCACGCCTCTTGCGGTTGATCTCATCCTTGTTCTGATGGTACCAATTCAATGAGGCTTGAGAATGATATATGCGATATTGTTGCATTTGTTCGGGAGTGAATTTTTGGATGCGTTCCTTGTTGTATTCATTCAACCTCTGTTTTTCTTCAGGTGACATATTGTGATATCTTTGAAGATTTGTATGATGGACCTGTTGGTACTCTCGTTGATATCTTCGTTGATAGTTCCGCTGATATTCAATCTTTTTTTCAGGCCAATAAGTCTTTTGATATTCCTTTTGATATTCCCTTTGGTAGTTCCGTTGATATTCCTTTCTTTTGAGTTTCTTCAATTCATCAGGTGACAACTCACTTAGGGTGGTAATAGAAGAAGGGTTCTCCATTTGTATAATAGTATATACATGAAATTGTTCTTAAGCGCGTTTGAAAGTACTTAAAGAATAGCTA